TTAGCTTAATATTTCTATTTTAATGTACCGTGGAGCCTTTTTCGAAAAATCAATATGGCAGACCTAAGACGGCGCTTTTAGTGAAAGGAGTGTTGATCCAATTTCAGGAAGTTAAATTAATAAATAATAAAGATTTAAATAATAATTCTCACACATAAGAAACAGCAATGAGGCAAGGAAATAACTATAGTCATAACGTGTCTTGAAATTGGTCACAATCCTAAGTTGACTAAAGTTCTATAAATGAAGTTGACAAAAGCTATCCAGAGATAATTTATTAAACGTCGACTATTTGAATATTTTTAGAACGTTTTTAGGATATCTTTGTGCTATAACAGGATTTAAACAGTTGACTTCAAATTACTAAAGAAAGTGGACTTAACTTCGACTTTAAACAGTCGACTTTTATTTGACTCAAAAAAATAGGCTAAATGTCGACTTTCAACAGTCGATTTTAAGTCGACTCAGAAAAATCAACTATAAGTCGGTTTTCCGTAAAAAATAGACATTCGAACTGAAAAACGACGCGTTAATTGGTTACTCCTTTACCGCGTTGCCTCACTTTATGGTAAAAAAAGTTTATAGAGAACGATAGAATAAAATTTTATCATTCTATCGTTTTCTATCGTTTTGAATATGAATTTTGGTTTATTTTGAATTCACAAATGTGAATAGTATTCTATCGTATACAATAGAATACAATATATAGTGATAGAATTTCTATCGTTAGTTATAGAATACAAAATCGTGTATAATCAGATAAAATACGATAAAATACGATAGGATTTATATCTGGACTTGCGAGCGAGAACGATACAGTTTAAAGAAAACGATTCAAAATGATAGCGTTATCAATTGAATCGTTTTCTTTTTCGATTTGAATCGTTTTCTTTTCCGAAATATTGATAAAAAGGTGCCTGTCACATGGCTAGAGACAGACACCTTTTTATTAATATTTTGGAAACTATAGAAAATGCACAAGTGACTACGAAGCATGTACATCTCGCTGTTTGTCGTCGGTGTGATAGTTTTTCTAACCTTAATAGTGGTCAACTTTGTCAATATCTTGTTTCGTAGTAGAGAGCAATGATTTTGTCAAATAAAAAAATTGTTTCTCGTGTAAAAATGCATCAATTGAGCCTATCTAGACAGCACACATATCCAAAACTAGGACATAAGGCGTCTTTAAGTTGACTTTTTATTTGAATATAAGACGTCTTTAAGTTGTCTTCAAGATGTCTTAAAGAAATTTTATGTCCCAGTTTTGGACATGGTGCTGTCTGGTTATAGTATACAGAGCCGTGCAGGTAAATCCGGAAAAATTTACTGAAAGAAAAAAATAATTATATTATCCCCAAAAATTTTTTTACATGCACACAACTTGGCAAAATGAAAGTACTCACCACATACGTTAATATTACTCTATATAATCCCCGTTCGCCTCAACGACCTGCTCCAGCCGAGACCTGAATCGCCTACACGCCCGAGCCAGCTCCTCTCTGTTCATATTGGTCATTACCGCCGTAATTTTTTTACGTAGCGCGTCCTTTGTGTTATGAGGTTCATTGTTCACCTCTGCCTCTACTACGCCCCACACGTAGTAATCCAGCGGATTGCTTAATGTCGTTTAGCAGTGCTTGGCATTTGATTTTCCGGTTGACTTTCATGGCGTCCGTCAGCAATTGTCGCCTCCGTAGTACATACGATTTATAATGCAGATCCTGGTGAACTGCACGACTCACTGTTGCACGATGTACGCCCATATCTTTGGCCAACTTTGCCATACTGGTTCCAGGACTCTGGTCAATCCGATCCTTTAACTGATCGATGAATTCACCAGTCCGCTTCCGGTCAGATCGCTTGCTGTGGCTTGCCCGGTCCGAAGTAACGTCGTCCTTGTTGTCCGCCTCTCGATAGGTTTTGGCTATCTCGTAAACTTGCGTTTTTGAGTAGCCAAACCAATCCACAATCTCCTTGGCGGTCTTCCCGGCGCGCAGTGATTCCAGGATCGCACCTCTCCTGTCCTGTTCTTTGCTCATCTTTCCACTTTCACTTTATACGTTGTTTCACTGTCAAAGTACGCTTCTTAAGCTTTAATTAGAAACCTAGAACACCAAAATCCAATAACACATCACTTCACTATACCTATCTAAACTTTTTCCGGATTTACCTGCACGGCCCTGTATATTCGGATACTTATTTCGTGCATTTTCGACAGAACATTATCGAGTGGTGTATCTTACATCATTTATAGTGTCCATTTTATTTGTAATGAAAATGGATTAATATGTATGTAATATAAATCGATTAATTAATAGAAATGGTAACGACGAAAAATGTTAGCACAACTACAATCTCTTAGATTGAAAGAGATATTAAGGAGTGGTTACGACAAGGCAGCGACAGGTCGCTTTTAAAAATACAATAACTGTTATATGTATAGTATAAGTTATATATAATACATATTATACTTTGACATTTTATTTTATTAAATTATATTTTTTCTTTGTAATGACCTGGCGTTACGTGCGGGATAGTCTTAGTCGGTGCGGTCCAAGGTTTCGCTCGGTAAATGAAAAGCAGTGATGTAGTTAATAATAAACGTGGAACTATATTCTAATCTCAGAGCTATTTACAAATATATACATGTGAAGTTACGCCGTTGGCGCGTGGTCGCGTTTTTGCTCTCGTCGGGAGCCGCTGTTGTCGTCGCGGGATCAGCTGTGAGCGTCTAGGTGCGCGGACGTCCGGCGGGACGCAGCCGGTATTGTTTCCCGATATTCTATCGTCCGTCGTATGAGTTCGTTGACTCGGCGGCTTTAAGCTTATTGTTGACACCGGGTTTTAACCGGCCCGGTTTAAGGGGGGAAATCCAATTAGAACTTTCAAAAAATCGAATTTTTTTTTTTT